TAGTCCTCTGTTGGGCCTTAAAAACTAACGCCACCTTAAGTGACATTACAAGTGGATTAATGTGGCAGCCTAAGACAGGAGGAAGTAGGGTGGGGGTGTCTGCGGGAACCTTGCCTAAGCCCTTATTGGCCAAATACATGCTTCTGCGCTCATGAACACAATAGCTAGGCACTGAGACAGGATGCATGCCCTTGAAGCTGATTGGATTATGTTAAAACCTCTCCTCCCTATCTGCCTATAAAAGCAAGTGCTTGTGTGATAATAAATGGAACTGCTGCTTGACAGAACCCCCGCCGCGTCTGAGTGTCCTTTAACTGGGCTGGGGGGCCGGCGGTGTGCTCACCTCTCTTCATGGCTCTCTTCCCCCGTCTCCTTCCAAAGGGGACAGGAGGGAAAGAGGAATCCAGGCCATTCGCTTGCTCACCAGAAGGAACGAGGCTAGGGCTGTATGGCGGCAGACCCGACAAGAGAGGAAACCAGAATGACTGATACAAACTAAAAAATACTTAACCCCATAAGTAATCAGGAAAATCCAGATTTAAACAGTGATGAAATATCACTTCATATCCATCAGATTGAATAGAACTGGTGAAGATGTAGGTAAATGGGAACTCTCATACATGGCTAATGGAAGGATAAATTGATACTATCAATTTACAGGGCAATCTATAAACCAGTGAAGTTGAAAATGTGTATACCCTATGATCCCACAATTTCCTATATATCCTTGAGAACTTTCACAAGTGGGCACAAGGATGGTCACAGCAGAATTGCTTATAATGGGAAAACTGGAAACAACTCACATTTCTATCAGTAGGTGAATGACAAATAAATTGAAGCATATCTGATGATAGGATGCTAGGTAGGATTTAAAATTATTGTGTCAGATATATATGAAACAACCAAAAGATTTTGAAAACGACTGACTGTTTTTTTAAAAAAAGCAAGTTGTAGGATATTACAATGTAATGCTGTGTAATGAACAGTTTCAATTTTTACCGACTGTTTGTTTTTTTTAAAAAAGCAAGTTGTAGGATATTACAATGTAATGCTGTGTAATGAACAGTTTCAATTTTTACAATATGATCATCTCTTGTATTTCCATGGATATACAGAAGTTTAAGTACAAAAACATGGACCAGATAATTCTTCAAAAAATTATAAATAGAATTACCATATGATCTAGCAATTCCACTGATGGATATTTCCCAGTAGAATTGAAAACAGGGACTTAAACAGATTATTTCTACACCCATGTTCATATCAGCATTATTAACAATAGTCAAAAGGTGGTAGGAACCCGAGTGTCTATTAACAGATGAATGGATACATGAATGTGATATGTAATGCAATGAGATATTATACAGACTTTAAAAGAAAGGAAATTCTGATACATGCTATTACAGGGATGAACCTTGTGAAATAAGCCAGTCACAAAAATACAAATATTGTACGGTTCCACTTACATGAGGTACCTAGAATTTTCAAATTCATAGTGACAGAAACTAAAGGGTAGTTTCCAGGGGCCGAAGGGAGGGAAGAATGAGCAGTTATTATTTAATGAGTACAGAATTTCACTTTTGCAAGATGAAAAGAGTTCTGGAGATGGATGATGTTGATAGTAGCACAAGAATGTGAATGTCCTTAATGTCACTGAAATGTATACGTAAAAATGGTTAAGATGGTTCTATGGTTTGAATGTGTCCCCCAAAGTTCATGTTTTGGAAGCTTAATTCCTAATACAACAGTGTCAAGATGTGGGACCTTTAAGAGATGATTAGGTCATGAGAGCTC